TGAAAGTAGTTGCCATGTTTCATATTTTCTGACTGGACAGTGTGTTTACTTGCATCTTGGTTTTTAGTTGGACAGTAGCTCTGAAGTAGAGGAGGCTGGATTTATTCACATTAGCCTTCCATGACAAGCAGGAAGATTCCTGGGTAGTATTGAATGGGGTGACTGCAAAATGACTGGAAAATTGTTTCTCCCTTAAGGACGCCTCTGAGTAGCAAACACTTATTGCAAGACTTCTGAATTAGATGAGTATAATCAGTATAAAGAGAAAGAAGGAAAACAAAGACTTTTAATGCATTTTCAGAGAGTTGGTGTTTCTTTCTGCCATCCGTATCCTCCCATCTCAACACTTACCTCTCTTGCTTTGTCTTTAGTAGGGTACCTTTGTACACCCTTTCCTGTCCCCGGTATTCATAATCTCTTGGGAATTTTGGTTTTGTGTGTATGGTGCTAGGCCTCAGACTCATGGTCTGAAGCATGCTAAGCACATTCCCTACCCCTGAACTACACCTCCAGCCCTATCTTGAGGCTTTTCGAGGAAGTCATATTGCAACTAATCTGGAAATGAACACACACCCTTCATTGTCAAGGTCGATAAGCTGTTAGCAGGGGAGGAGGAAGTTTGGCATTATTGGCTTGGAAATGTAGAATAAAAGTTCTGAGAAGCAAATTCCAGGTTACAACAGGCTCTTCCTTGTAGGGATCTAGCATTATAGAACATTTTATTGAGATAATCCAGAAAAATGCATTAAACACAGTCCTTGGCCTACGTAGGGTTCAATAAGTGTTAATCTCCCTACTGCTTTCTGTCTTTCCTTAGTTCTTTTTACTAAGAAGCTCACTGTTTGATGAGAAACAACCATTGTTTGTTTTCCTTGGCTAACTGGGAGGCTCTCTGCTGTTTTTGATAAAGATTTTGGTAAAGCAAAGTGGTTAATTTGGTCATTTTTGTTTCCTTTTATTTATCTCCTGTGTTTTGGTATAACGAGGATTTAGTATAGCTGTTAATACAACGTAAATCTTCAATTTTATTACCCACCCATCAGCAAACTAGCTTTTGCGAAAATTGAAGCTAAAAGTTATTTGATAAATGTTCCGTCCTCCTCAATAGTGAAAACTGGCCTGAAAATCATTTTTCAAGGAGCTTTTTCCAAAGGTTTCGAGTTCCTTCAAGCCTTTAAGAAGTTGGAAATGTTATTAAGCATTTTGATTTCTTTTCCTTTCATCTCCTGTTTAGAAATTAATGTCTTGAAAAATTGGCTGCAAATGTTAAGGTTTTTTAAAGATATGAAATCTATTCATCTGTCTAATACAACTGCAACATGTTAAAAAGCATTGGTTCTTTGCTAGACATCTTGGCTAGTCTTGGAAAGATTTTTGTCTTTACGTTCTAGACCTTTAGATGCCTTCTATTTTCCTTTTTAGCACTTGGAAAACAAAGCCCTTCAATAATTTTCTCAAATGAAAATTTCAACATGCATTCAGTCTCTGCTCCTTGTAAGGGACTGCAAGATAGCAAGGCCTGGTCCCATTCCTATGTTTCATAAAGAGAGATGGTAGGTGAAAAGGTAATTTAAACAATTGCAGAACGGCCCTCGGATTTCCTGTTTCTTCCCTCTAGTTTGTCTCTTCTTTTCCCTGCAGAATGCATCAGTGTCCATTCTAAAAGGTCCTCTAGGTTCATCTTCTTTTTTGTGGATCATTGTTGCATACAACTTTGTGTAACACTGCAGTTCAGGAGCAGCCCCTATATGTCTGCATATGGGTGTACATATGGTCGATTTTAGCTTTAGCTTCAAATTTCCTTGAATACGTAGACTGTGTGTATTCCCATAATGGTAGCTGAGCAATTTCTTTGCTATGGCTCAATTTCTTTCTCTCCTTCTGCATTTCCATCTCCTTTCCCTCTATATAGTAGTAACTTTCCTAAAAGGCTCATTAAAAAAAAATCCATAACACGCATGCAAGCAGGAGCCAGGAAATTTAAGTTTATATAACAGTCCCATCCCATTTGGCTGTTTGGCTGAAGCTGGCTGTGTAAAGAGAATGGAATGTGGTGTTGTGATTGCCTTGCTGATGTGTGCGCACTGCTCCAGCATGAGCCTCACCATCCACTTCTACTCATCGACTGCCAGGATGTGCTGGGTGCCGTGGAACAACACAACCACAGCCTTCAGTTGAGACATACAATCTACATGGAAATGGACCAGGCAGTCTGAGCTGTGTGCTCTGCTTCATCTGGCCACTTCTGTAGGCTCAATAGCCATTGTCAGAGGAATTATGTTGGACCCAGTATTTCAGTACAGTACCACCTCTGACTTCCAGAGGTCATTTTTTAAGACCCCCAAGGCTGCAAACATGTAACTTATTCACTTTGTGACACCACTTAGCTGAGCTACCTGGGCAGTTTTTCCTATAATAAAAGCAACAACCCAACTATCAATCTCCTTTGTGTTGGAGAGTAAGGCACTTAGGCATCTTTAATGTGGCCAAGGGTACAGGTTAAGTGTCAAAATGATTAACTAATTGGCAGTTGGTTTCTTTTACAAGGACTATTCATGGAGATTGTATTTCAGTTATACTTAAAATACAGTGGTTAAAAGGAAAGATATGGTCTCTATTTTCATGAAGTCCTGTGTGGTACTATGGAGGCAGACATTGAACAATAAAGAAACCATTAATTATTTAATTACAACTGGGCATAGAGCTACAAAGGAGAAATAGAAATAGCTGCATTCTATGACAGCAACTAATAAGATGTATGATTTCATCTCAAGTCTCAGAAAGGAAATGAGTGCTAAGCTTAATGTAATTCTAGGAAGTGTATGCAAGGGGTTTGGGGTGCAGTATGAGAAGGGTATTCCAGGAAGCACTAGAATGGTTTGTGCAAAGACCTTGGTGAGGAAGGAACGTGGTATGTACCGGGGTCCAAAGGAGGCTCAGTGTGGCTGGAAACCAGTCAAGGAAAGAATGGACTGGGGAGATAGTTCTGGATCATGCTAGGCCTGCCTACCAGGTCTGTTAATGATTTATGCTTTTTGTTAAAAGTTATAAGAAGCCATTGAAATGTTTTTGATAGTAATTGACATGATTAAATTCCTGTTTCCCTAGTAAAGACTGTTCTGACAGCAATAGCAGAACAGACTGGAAGAAAGAAAAGGTGGACGCTGGGATCTAAGCTACAAGGCTGTTACACTAGTCCAGAAAGAAAATCTGGCAGCTTGGCTTAGGGGAGTGGGAATAAAAGGAACAGACTAGATGGTGATTGAGGAGATTAAACTCAAGAGGACCTAGTGACTGGACATGTGAAGGAGACAAGGAGAAATCAGATATGTTTAAAGGAGGTGCTCAGATTATTGTCCTGAATAGCTGTCTAGATGGTGTTGACTTCACTGATGCAAGGGCCTGTGAAAGGGACCAGCTGAAGAGAGGGGGGCAGCTGGAGAGCCTGGTTTGGTAAGGCTGGTCCAGTCTGAGATGCCTGGGGATTGGCCAGCCTGAGATGTCGAGTAGATAGCTGACTGAGTCTGAAGCCCAGACTCTGAAAATAGAGACCAGAGTATTGCATATGTAAAATATGGCCAAGCACAGATGAGCCGTCCATTCAGGAGGTGTGGAGTCTGTGAAGTGTTCGGTCACATTTCATGAGTGTTCATCACGTGCTCCCTATCTGCCATTTGCTAAATATCTGGCACATGAAAAGGAAAAGCATTCAATAGGTATTGTAGGATGTCTCTTTACTCCAAGCCTAAATTACCTTTCCTACCATCCGAGAATGGAGACTCTCAGTGCATCCAGGGAGAACTCTTAGACAGGTGAAGTCTATGTTTGGTCCTGTGTTTCCTGGTCTTTGCTTCAGTTAACTGAATGCTGTGCAAACTTAAGTTCATTTTATTCTCCTTTGGCCTTGCTAGACATAGACTAGTTGGTAAACACATCCTTGTTCTCAACTCCATGTGTTCTTAAAACCCTTCTCCCAGTTTTGAGAGACATTATCACCATTGGCTTTGCCACCTTAGAGCAAGAGCTGCAGGATTGCTTCTTACACTGAGAAAGAGAATGCATCTTTTTTTTTTTTTTTAAGGTAATCTGTCTTCAGGCTACAAAATATTCTTCCCATATTTTGTGAGTTACAACTTGCTGATGACTTTCAGATGATGATGATATTGACTTCAATTGTGAAAATTAGGCCACACCCCTCTAGTCTTTTCCTAAAATAAGACCAGATCTATTGGAAAAGTGAAATTTATAGCCTCTTTTATTTAGCTCTTACTCTTCAGAGACTCATGGCTTAAAATGGCCTACATTTTAAGACTACATTTCTCAAATTATTGTCTTTAGACCACTTGGATCAGATTCACTGGGATATGCTTGTTATAAATGAAGATTGCTGAACCTTGTCTTACAATTTCTTTTTTCATTGTTCAGGTGGGATAGACCCCAATAGCTTGTATTTTAAACAAGGACCCCAAGTAATTTTTTGTGTACTAGAATTTAAGAACCATTTTTTAAGAATGTTAAAATTTGTACAACACCTTATTAGAATTCTGAGTTGGTTAGAAATTAAATAGTTTTGCAAGCCAGGTCAGTATTGTAATATTTTTCAAGATTAATCATCAAGATATAAGTATTCAAACTTTTCACAGGTATTAGTCAGTTATCCATTGATAAAAAGAAAAGAAAAGATCTCATTGCACAAATTTCTTTCCCAGTACATGCAATTTTATGTAAGGAAAGGACCAAATGGATAGGGAAAGTAGGAAAGAATGGAGACACAGAAAAAGCATGCATGGGTGAGAGAGAAGAAATTGATACAGAAGAAAAGGAAAGTGAATTTGGATTCCATGGTAGTTTTTTCTTGGGCATGGTACATGGTTTGTTCCAGTTGGCATGCTCTGTGAGTTTCTCTTGTGCATGGTTGTACTTTACGGATGCTTCTAGAGGGGCATCCTCTTTGCTATCTCCAGAACTAGCTAAAGTCTCTGCTTACATTGCCCCCATAGGAAGAGCGCCGCGTGATTTATGTTGGTAAAATCAGACCTGACACTACCCGGACAGAACTGAGGGACCGCTTTGAAGTTTTTGGTGAAATTGAGGAGTGCACAGTAAATCTGCGGGATGATGGGTGAGAATCTTCAAGATTATTTCTTGTTTAGAAGCTGACGTATGTAAAAAATTATGGCCCTAAGATTACTGGGATGGGAGTTGCCAGTGTAAGTGCTTTGACAGATGACATGTTGAGTTCAGAACCTTATTTATTTTCTTTCATCCCTATTTATTAATCTTTCTAGTTGAGATTTCCTGTCCCAGAAATAAGTATTTAGCTGCTTGACAGGACAATCACACTGATAAATGGATGCAGTAGCTCAGACGTTGGCCCCAGCAAAGTCTCCCAAAGTAGAAAGGGTTACAGTGCTGTATGCTAATGCTCCTTAACCAGTTTTGAATTTCTCTTCTTTGTCCACTGCAGAGACAGCTATGGTTTCATTACCTACCGCTACACCTGTGATGCTTTTGCTGCTCTTGAAAATGGATATACTTTGCGCAGGTCGAACGAAACTGACTTCCAGCTGTACTTTTGTGGACGCAAGCAATTTTTCAAGTCTAACTATGCAGACCTAGGTATGGATTTTATTGTACGTAGAGTGAGGAATCCATAATGTAGAGCTCAAAACGGAAGCAAACGTACTCTGCAGGCACTTGGGGTTGGAGCATCTCATCACTTTATTTTACTGGAGGGAATATTTGAATGAATTTTTTTTTAAATGTATGAAACAGTTTCAGAATCAAGGGGTCCCAGATTTTGGCAATAACTGGCAGAAATAAATTCTTGTACTAGCTGCATAGGTGCTTACACTGCACTGTGTGTGTGTGTGTGTGTGTGTGTGTTTACATGTGTTGTGTGTGTGTTTGTGGTGTATAAAGTGCACACATGTGTCTTTTGTGTGGGTATGTTTGTGATCTGATTTTCCTTTCCATACCTACCCTGAATCCTTTTTGTAAACCTAGCAGTGCCATGTTTGTTTAATGGAACAGAATAGAAGAAAGTCCTATTCTCTCTTCCTTATTAATTCACAAACTCTGAAAAATATTCTTATTTTCTATGAATTGCAAGTTGAGAGGCAAAAGTGAAAGCTTCACAGGCTACATCACCCCACATTTACTTTCTTTGAAGTAGATAAGAAGATGAGCGCGTCCATGTGCTAGACACTGTGCCAGGGGCTTTGCAAGCATTTTCTCATTGAATTACCCCAGTTATTGTAGGGGGTGGATGATACCGTTGTCATCCCCATTTCACAGTTGATGAGAAGGAAACAGATATTGTTTCCCTTGTGATAACAGTTGTATAGACTCAAGGGAGAAAATTTGGAAAATATAAAAATTATTAAGAAGAAAAGTAAAATCCCCTATCAACCCATCTCCCAGAGATAACCACTATTACCCTCTGACTGTGTTGCTTTGCAGTGTTTTGTCTTGGAATGTCTACTTTCTTATGTTTGAGGATGTGATTCATAGGATTGATACTCTATCAACACATTTTAATGATCATGCAGTATTTTATTGGGCAAATAATACCATTGTATTTAATCATTCCATTCTAGAGACAGATTTATTCACTCTTTAGTTTTTTGATAATATAAATAATGCTACAGTGGACATCTTAATTTCCTTTCCAATTTTGATTTTCTTCTTTTGCCTGTCATTCCTTATCTCCCGTGCCTTTTGATTCCTTGAGGAAGGAGTGAAGGAAGGCAAATGCCTTGTGCATATAACATAATTATTCAAAATTAATTTATTATAATCATAAAATTAGCATATGCATGTATTCCTCAGCATTACCAGACATCATTGCTATCGCTCCTGCGTGGTGTAAAGAGAGAAATGAATACCAAATACAAGGATTTCTTTTTTTCCCTTTCCACAAAGTGATGTCTTCTGGAGTAATTGATATTGGTGGTGTGCATTGTTCAGAGGGAATATGCTATAATTCACTTCACAAGCTAAATAGATAGTGTGGAGCAGGGGAGAGGCCGCTGACTGTTAGAGAGATGGAGGCCCAGGGATAAAAATATAAAACGTGGCAAGTCATTTGTTCAAATGTTGGCTGATAAAAACACTCAAGACAGATTGAAGCCTTGAGTTGATTTGACTTATTTCCTTCGGTGATGAAGGCCAGGGTGTTTCTGGTCTCTCAAAACATCTAGAGTTTAAAATAAGCTACCTAGAGGGGCCTTTAGATCACTATTCATCATGGTAGAGGGAGGATTGGATGGTATTTCCAAATTGAACTGGCACCTCCCTGAAATATTTCTGAGAAGCTTGCCTCCTCCCCTCCTCTCATCTCCCTGCCTAGCCAGCAGCAATAGAAACTTTGCCATTGCTAAGCTCACTCTGTATTTTCTTAGAGGTGTGTTTGATGTGCATTGTGGTGGCGTGGGATTTTCCAATTCCCTCAAGCTCTCTAGTGGCAGGAGAGGTAGTTTTTCTGAGAGTAGGCATGGTGTAATCAAAAGATCCCTGCGTTGGAACCCTGCCAGCCTCGCTTTGAAACTTGCCTTACCACGGGTCTTGGGGAAATGATTCAACTCCATGAGCTCCTGGTTCTTCCTCGGTGAAACACCTTGCCAATACTGTTGCGGAGGCTGTATTAAATAAAAGTTTGAGGAGCTGTTATCCCAGCATCTGGCAGAACATAGGTGTTCAATAAATAGTAAACGTGATCATGATTTAAAATTATAGCGATGGGAAGTTAGAAATTTGGAGTTGTTTTAAAATGGAAGAATCAACACCAGGGCAAGCTTTAGAACTCTTAAGAAATTCTCCCCGGGTGTCTTGTCTTTATTCCCTGAAGAATGCAAATTAAGTGCTTCAGGGCACACATGGGCACTGACTATGGTGAAAATGAAATACACTAGACTCTTAAAGGAATTGGGAATTTTTATGTATTTCAAGAATAAAGTGATGGTGATGAAATACAGATTAATTTTACCAAGACAGTAAAATGACCTATCATATTAGACAGGTTGGACCAATTTTTTGTTTTTATATGCTCCTCTAAGTAAAATTAGCTTACACATCCCATTTTTCTATTATTGAAACTAGTCAAACTAACAATATTTTTAAATAAGCAAAACATGATGATTTCAGCTACCATTCTTGAGCCCTTTCTATAAATAAGACTGAAGTTCAATGTGACTTGCTAGAGGCCACTCTGGTGAGGCCAGGATGTGAGACCTGATTTATAGGAATCTTCAGTATCTGTCTTTCTACCATTTGTCTTATAAGCAAATGGATCTTTCTAATACACCTTGATAAAAAATATTAAAGAGGAAAGACACAGAAAGTATACTGGGACTACAGGATCATAATAGAAGGATGAGTCAGTATTTTGAACGTAAAACTTTTGATCAGGAAGTAGTTATATGTAATACTGATGTTCCAACATACAAGGAAAATGAAATAACACATCCATCATGAATTCCTTTTTAACCCAGAAGTGTCTGAAATTATTAGCATTTTGAATATATGCATAATTTTACATACATCCTCTCCATTTATTGGTAAATAATTCCCAGATCCCAATACAAATATTTTCAACCATGGTTTGAATAATATACAGGCTTTTGAGATTCATATATTCATTCAACAAACATTAATTTGAATACCTACCTAGTGTCCACATTTCCAAATGTGATGTGATTTGCTTCTGTTAATACAGTATCATTATTTATAATAATTCCTTTTGAAAAATAGAGTGGCTTTTAAGTTATTCCTAGAAAATTCTTCTCCTATCTTCTGAATTCCACCATCCTTCTGTTAGTGGGAGGAAAAGGGGCAAAGTGAATATTATTGTGTCAGAAATGTGACCACATTCTATTTCATGCAATAAGATAGATTTATTTTTTTTGGGGGGTGGTTACCTGTTGGGTGACATAGCATGATTGTACAACAGTATAGGTGTCAACACTTCCCAGTTAAGAAACTGTTGAAAATAAAAATACAGAAACACTGAAGTTCTGGTGTCACTTAGAATAATCCAAAGTTAGGAAATTTAATTATTCTCAAAATTCTCAAAATGAAGGAAGAGTATGTGTTCATGTTCTTGATGGCTTCAGGCTGCCTTTTGTCACATGAACCACCGTCTGGACAAATCACCCATCCTGATATAGTAGGCAAAAGGAGGCTGATCTCAAACCCCTTTGCACCAAATGACACTTTGTCTCTACAAAAAAAAAAAAGTTGATTTGAACAACAGCTGCTCAGGAGGCCTTAGTAATCTAAGCAAACCATTCATTAGACCATGAAAGAGGACCATACCCAGTGTAATTTAAGAATTGAGTATTTGGGATATTACTGGGGAAAGATAGAACCTTTTTATCTTTGTTTTTATGTCTGTGCAAAACTGTGACTCTTGTTGTTCTTACCCAGACAATCTTGTGTGGAAACGTGAACAAGGGATGGTAAGAATGAAAGAAAAAGAAAAGTGAAGGAATTTCCTTGTCTTAAAATCTAAGCAAGTGAAAGTTGATGGAGGGGGTCGAGGGCAGCAGAAAATCAGCCTGGAGCTGGGGCACTTAGAGCACTGCAGTTCTTTCAGCAAAACAATTCTGTCAATGATTGCACTTCCATTTTATCTATTACGCTCTTCTATCACTTTGAGAATTTCTTTTGTAATTGACTTGGGAATGCTCATATTTTAGTAGAACTGTTAATGTGTTCCAGAAAGGTCTTGTTTTCCCTTCAAATTAATGTTTTTCAAATAATGAATGTATTTGTAAGAGGCTTTTTATTATACTTCCAAGCCAACCTTTCTCACTTGCAAAAGACCAGCAGGAAATATCTGACTTCTTTGTAGATGTCAATGGAGAAAAATTAGAACTATGTAACAGAATTGCATTTTACATTCCACACTGTGGAAGCACATCTGTTTTGTTAAGAGTTATTTGAAGGAACACGTGGAATTTTGCACAAAATCTGACTTGGGCTAGTTTAAGGTTCCAAGAGTTTGGTTCTATTTATAGCTGTATATTTGTTTCTATTAATGAGTAAAGAGGGTGAATGTACCCTCCAGTATCTGAAACATTTGTCTGGGTCCAATCTGGGGCGAGTTTGCACCTCTGCTGCTGCAATGCTTAGAGGTTCAGGGGTAGATGCAGGGGTTGACTATATGTCCTCCAAAAGGAGTATAGCAGGTTGGGAACCACGAGAAGTTCTGATGGTTCTCTTTGTCCCACTTAACTGGCTTGTATGCTTAATGAGAGTAACCCCTGTAAGGAGAACATTAGCTCCAGTTTGTACTGATTCTGCATCTAAGTTATTGAGAAGTCCTAAGCAAGTCACTTATGTCAGGGAAAAGAGGAGGATGGTTATCTATAAAACATAGGTATTAAGTGTGCCCTGCCTACCCTCTCAGAAGTGTTTCAATCTTAAAAAAAAAAATCGATAGGTATATGTTTTTGGAACTTCATGGCTCCCTGCTCTGCATATATATATGCATATATCCAATAACATCTGAGCATTGCTTTTATAAAGCATATTGATTGGCTAAATTGCAAGTGAATGGGATAATCTTGAATTGGGATGCTTGTGTTAATGGCTGCCAGCAAGGAGTGTATCTAACCTGGCTTGGGTTTCTTTCAGATTCAAACTCAGATGACTTTGACCCTGCTTCCACCAAGAGCAAGTATGACTCTCTGGATTTTGATAGTTTACTGAAAGAAGCTCAGAGAAGCTTGCGCAGGTAACATGTTACCTGGCTGAGGACGACAGAGATGGTGAATACCTCACGGGACAGCGCGCCCTTCCCTAACAGACTATTGCAAGTCATACTTATGAATTTCTCCTCCTTTACACTCTCTGTACAAAAACAAAACCACAAAACAACAACAATACAACAAGAACAAGAACAACCACAACAACAATGGTTTACATGAGCAGAGCTGCTGAAGAAGCAAGAGACAGAGTGATATCCAGTAAGCACAAGTTTATTTATGGGTGTCAGCTTTGCTTTCCCCGGAGTCTCTTGGTGACTGTGTGTGTGTGTGTGTGTGTGTGTTCATGTGCGTGCGTGCGTGCATGCATGTGTATGGGTACGTGTGCACATGTGCACGCTTGGTTTGGGGGAAGTGTGTGTGTGTGTGTGTGTGTGTGTGTGTGCACCTGTGAGGACTAGGGGCACCTGACCAGAACGTGCAAGGGCAGACCACTTCAAATGGCAGCAGTTCCATGAAGACACACTTAAAACCTAGAACTTCAAAATGTTCACAATCTATTCAAAAGGAAAAAAGTATATATATATACATATAAACATATAAATTTAAAAAGGAAAGAAAACTAATCAATCAACCACAAAACAACCCTAATACGACAGCTGCTGATGTCCAGGGCATTGGCCTCCGTACTCTGTTTTTTAAGAAAGTGCAAAATCAACTTGAAGCAAGCTTTCTCTCCTCACCTAATGATTATGTGACAATCCCGAAGAAACCACAGGTTCCCTAGAACTAACATCCTCTCTCTCTCTCTCTCTCTCTCTCTCTCCCCTCCCGCTTTCTCTCTTTCTCTTTCTCTTTTTCTTTCTCTCTCTCCCTTTTCTTTCTTTCTTTTCCCTTTTCCTTTTGCCATGGAATCTGGGTGGGAGAGGATGCTGCGGGCACCAGAATGCTAAACTTTCCTAACATTTTGAAGTTTCTGTAGTTCGTCCTTTGTCCTGACACCCATGTAAATGTCCAAAACGTTGATCTTCCACTGCAAATCTTAAAAGCCTTGTCAATGGTCAAGCGTGCAGCTCGTTCAGCAGTTCTTCCCGAGACGCGGACGCGGTGTTACATTACAAAGGAGAGTTGAGTAGAACTCTCTGGATGTGTTCAGATAGTGTAATCGCTACATTCTCTGATGTAGTTAAGTATTTACAGATGTTAAATGGAGTATTTTTATTTTATGTACATACTATACAACGATGTTCTTTTTTGTTACAGCTATGCACTGTATATGCAGCCTTCTTTTCGAAACTGCTAAATTTTTCTTAATCGAGAATATTCAAATGTAATTATGAGGTGAACCAATTATTGTACACTAACATATTTAGAAGCTGAACTTACTGCTTATATATATTTGATTGTAAAAAACAAAAAACAAAAAACAAAAGACAGTGTGTGTGTCCGTTGAGTGCAACTACAGAAAAAAAAAAAATGACGCTTTACGCACATCCATCCCTCCTTTCTTAGGTGAGCTTCTATCTGAGCATCTTGTCAAAAACTATCCTAGTCCCCTCAAGGTATTAACCACTTCTGCGATATTTTTCCACATTTTCTTGTTGCTTGTTTTTCTTTGAAGTTTTATACACTGGATTTGTTAGGGGAATGAAATTTTCTCATCTAAAATTTTTCTAGAAGATATCATGATTTTATGTAAAGTCTCTCAATGGGTAACCATTAAGAAATGTTTTTATTTTCTCTATCAACAGTAGTTTTGAAAATAGAGGTCAAAAATCTTTTTAAAATGCTGTTCTGTTTTAATTTTTGTGATTTTAATTTGATACAAAATGCTGAGGTAATAATTACAGTATGATTTTTACAATAATTAATGTGTGTCTGAAGACTATCTTTGAAGCCAGTATCTCTTTCCCTTGGCAGAGTATGACGATGGTATTTATCTGTATTTTTTACAGTTATGCATCCTGTATAAATACTGATGTTTCATTCCTTTGTTTACTAAAGAGACATATTTATCAGTTGCAGATAGCCTATTTATTATAAATTATGAGATGATAAAAATAATAAAGCCAGAAGAAATTCCCCTAGGATGCATGGCGGTTGTCAGGTGGGAGTGTAAACTCTTCATTGGGGAAACTCGCCTTTTGCAGAAGCAGTGTTTCTACTTGCACTAGCATGGCCTCTGACGTGACCATGATGTTGTTCTTGATGACATTGCTTCTGCTAAACTCAATAAAAAAACTTCAGAAAAACCTCCATTTTGAGCATCAGGATTTCATCTGAGTGTGGAGTCCCTGGAATGGAATTCACTGACGTTTGGAGTGTGTATTCAAGTTTCTAAATTGAGATTCGATTACTGTTTGGCTCCCGTGACTTTTCTGGAAGATGTGACATACCTACTACTTAAGCGTTCTTTTCCTTTCTCTCGCCCAACACGATCTTATACAATGGGTCTCACCCCCAGGCCAATGCAGCGGATTTTGACGGCTGCAGTCATTTATCACCAGCATACTGTGTTCTGAGTGAATCCACTGTCTGTCCTGTCGGATGCTTGCTTGAGTTTTTGGCTTCTTATTTCTAAGTAGATAGAAAGCAATAAAAATACTATGACAACATAAAAGAACTTGTTCACAGGTTCTGCGTTACAACAGTAACACACCTTTAATCCGCCTAATTCTTGTTGTTCTGTAGGTTAAATGCAGGTATTTTAACTCTTTGTGAACGCCAAACTAAAGTTTACAGTCTTTCTTTTGGAATTTTGGGTATCTTCTGTTGTAGAATAATAATAAAAAAAAGACTATTAAGAGCAATAAATTATTTTTAAGAAATCGATATTTAGTAAATCCTATTATGTGTTTAAGGACCAGATGCGTTCTCTATTTTGCCTTTAAATTTTTGTGATCCAATTTTAAATACATTCTCTTTTTCGCCCTGGATTGTTGACATGAGTGAACTATTTGGTTTCTTTTCTCACTTATCAAGAGACAACACTACAGACTTCATGTTGAGGATTAATTTATCCCCTCCCCTCCAGTCTGACAAATATTGTCACCATGAAGATAGTTTTCCTCCATGGATGTCAAATCACATCTCAAATTAGTGGAGCATTTGTACCTTATGCAGACACTGTGGGTAGCCCATCGAAACTTTCGTAAGGTGTGTTCCTTTTATTTTTATTTTTTTATTTTTTGGAGAGAATATTTCCAGTGAACACGTGCACCCCATCTTCACAGGAGGCAATTTCAGCATAGATCTGCAGGGTTTTTAGAAGACCCAGGCCATTGCCTTCATACTGTGGTAAGTACCACATCTACAATTTTGGTAACCGAACTGGTGCTTTAGAAAAGTGGGATTTTTTTTTTTTTTTTTTAAAGAGATGTAGCAGACTAATTCTTCCAGTGCACCCAAGTCAATTTTTGCTAAATGACTCCAGGAACACCAGTCGGGCTGTCAACATTCAAAGCAGCAGAGAGGGAACTTTGCACTATTGGGGTAGGACGTTTGGGTCAGTTGAAAAAGGAAACCTTTTCATGCCTTTAGATGTGAGCTTACAGTAGGTGATGATTCTGTGTCCTTCTTTGATGGCTGTAACGAGAACTTCAATCACTGTAGTCTAAGACCTGATCTATAGATGACCTAGAATAGCCATGTAATATAATGTGATGATTCTAAATTTGTACCTATGTGACAGACATTTTCAATAATGTGAACTGCTGATTTGAAAGAGCTACTTTAAGATTTGTAGGTGAAAGTGTAATACTGTTGGTTGAACTATGCTGAAGAGGGAAAGTGAGAGATTAGTTGAGCCCTTGCTGGGCTTTTTCTTCCACCTGCCAATTCTACATGTATTGTTGTGGTTTTATTCATTGTATGAAAATTCCTGTGATTTTTTTTTTAATGTGCAGTACACATCAGCCTCACTGAGCTAATAAAGGGAAACGAATGTTTCAAATCTACTTTTGCTTTTCTTATTTATCGTAACCCAACTGCTGGCATACTTCTCAGATCAGTACACATTACTTGCTTATTATTATTCTGTTTCCTCTCTGGTTCTGTCCCCCTTCTCCCTGCTTTTCCATATTCATGGATGCATTTCGGCTCTAAGGAAATGGGTGCCTCCTGTATTTTACCTTGTCTTCTTTCAAGCTGTAAAGGCAGTCGTGGTGATTTCTGTAATGAACGTTCGGAGGTGAAAAGTGACATGGGACTTTATCAAACCGATTAGCTCAGTTTTTGTTCTTAGCCCTGGAAAGTGTGTATTTTTAAGTAGAAGCCACTGTCCCTAGGGAGGGTCCTGTTAAATAGTCAGTGTAGGAAGTAATGTTCCTGTAGATGGACTGGATCTGACTCAAAGACGTATAATGAGATGTAGCCCCTGTCATCTGTAAGTCATCTGTTTACCTATGGGATGAGCTGGTAATTGCTGATGTGTTTCCTTGTCAGGATGTCCATTGTGCCTGGGGGTTTATGACAGGGTCATCAACCTGATGACAGGGAATCCGTTGTTAGCCTTTTGCCCTCCCTAATTTCAGATGGTCCTTGCCACTCTCAACCTCTTGCACTGCAAAATCTAGCATCAGCATAGCATTGGGGCAAGGGGGCTAAGTGTATCCTAGCCCTCTCCCAAAAGTCCCCTAGAAAGTAAAGAATGTTTATTGGTAAATATTGGAAATGGGATAGAGCTATCAAGAATGCTATCCAGCATCCAAATGAATGGATTGTCTCTGCTGAGGTTTTAGATTTTTATGGTAAGGAAGGGAGGAGGGGAGGGCATGGGTAATACTGAGGAAGGAAATTGACCAAATGATGGTATGTCCACCTACAAATATACAACAATGGATGCCCTATATAAAGATAGATAGATAATGCACTAATTAAAACAACAATAACAGAAGGGAGATCAATAGAGTAGAATAAGTGGATGAGGGGGGGAGGAAGAGTGAGAAAGGAAGGTACTGGGAAGGAGACTGGGTAAATTACGTTATGTGCATGTACTGCTATGGCACAATGGATCCCACTATCGCGTATAATTATAATGTGCCAATCAAAAGTCACAAGAAATACTTTTAAAAATGTGCAAACAACATTCAGAAGTGCTCCCTGTGGTGCTACTTCTATTTTATACCACTGATAAAATCTGTCAGTATTTTATCAATATAGAAAATGAAGTTACTATTATTTCAAATACTGTATTTATTGCCTTCACTTTGCTTAAATTATGTAGGGCTTCTTTCATCTTTTGATGGGAGGCAGCAAGGATATCAGAAGGATATCTTGCTTAAAGGGTTAACTTTCTGTTCTAATAAACGCTTTGAGGACAGAGAGAAAATAAGGAATTTTAAAAAGCAAGAAATAGCTACTAGTTTGGTACTGAAGCATCCTGATTAAAGATAAAGGATTCATTTTATGTTGTCCCCAAAACGTTAAATCACTTCCATCCTTGATGATACTAATGGCAAAAATAATTACTGAAACCAAAAATAAGTGAACACTTGATATGATTAGTTTATTTAAAAGGAGCTTGTCTCATTTTAAAAGTCCTCCAAACTAAATCTCCCGAAACTATATACAATGTGTAATATTGAGTTGAAATTCTTTTTCAGCC